AAATACAATGAAATTATATTGACTAAATCATATTGTTATATTGTATGCATGTACAAATATGTAGCAATAAATCCCACTATTATGTCTAATCATAATGCACCAATAGAAATGTAGAAAATTTTAAAAGTTACTTATTCAAGAAAAATTGCTTTTCCTGTAATTTAGTGCCATTTTTTTCAGTTTAGCATACTAAAAAATGGCTGTTTTTTATCTTGTAAGAAAATAATTTACTTACAAACTTTAAGCTTCCATTAATTAAACATATGTGTGTATTTAAACAACTCATTAAATACACTTGTGATATACAATGGATAAACCATAGGAATAATAATAATAAGAGGAAAAATAAGTAAGCAATAAAGAGTATTATTTTTCTTATGTACACAATGTGATATGTCAGAACTAATGAATAGGAATCATTTTAATAAGAAAAGAGTATACATTATAAATGAGACTTGTGGACATTCAAAGAATAGAACTGTCAGTATAAAGTGAACTTAGGTTTCCATTTATCATTTTTTATATTGTATTAGTATGTGCCTGGAACCATTGTACACATGTTACGAAAAAAACTCATTTTATTTTTGAGAAAAAAAACTATGAAATAGATGGTATTATTATCTTATTTCACTGACAAGAAAAACCTGAGACTGCAGAAGTTAAATAACTGCTCAACTTTATGTAATTAATAAGTAATAGAACCAGGATTTATACCCAGAAACTGTTTCCACATTCCATGTTTTATAAGAGGAAATGCTAGATATTAGATGATTAGTTACTTTTGTTTGGGATGATGGATCCCTGTTGATAATCTGAAAACCGTTTACTATCTACTGAGAATATACACACATACACATACATTTGCATATTTATATTGTATAAATGTATTCTGTATGTGTATATAAATATACATGTGTGTGTCTTTTGAAATTATTTCTTGATTTTGTCTTTTGTTGGTGGTCAGAATTATTGTTGAAAATGAAAATATAGCCATCAAAGAGAGTTGATATTTTCATGATCTTTGTTGAGGATTAATGGAGAGTCTTTTTGTTTTACTCTCTGAGGTTTGAATGGAAGAACATTAGAGCAGTGGGAAGTTTAAGCTCAGGAAGTAACTAATTGTCAATCCAAAGTTTAATCACTTTAAATGGATTAATACTATTTATTATATTTACTCATCTAAAACTAATTCATTTTTTCTTTAGTACTCCACAAATGCAACCACTTTTTTAAAAATCTGGAACAGAATATACAAATACAAAGTTTATTTTAGGTTTTAATGTAGTCCTTAATTCAATTTGAAAATTGCTTCTAACTAGGCTCAACTTTATAAAAGCAAGCAAAAGATTAATCCACAATCTGTATTATTGACTTAAGGCCTTTAGTTTCATCTATTATACCAGCATCTCAACCACCTTTATAATCCTTTGACTATATTTTATTGCTGTTACCCTCAAAACCAATTATTACTTATTACAGACACAGTGCTATCATTCTGAAAGTCTTTTAAACTACAGTGTCTGCATAATGATGTGATGCGGGAGTCATGGAAAACCTTTAGTATTAAGATTATGGCCAAGAAGATTATTCCAGTAGGGTGATATAGTGTATATTACAGAAAAAAAATGGAGACAGAATACAGGAGAACAAGGGGGTAGCAGTGTCGGTACATGAAGTAAGTCCTGCTCAGGACCATTTTAGAAAAGTAACTGAAACATGATGCTTTGGCAGAGGCATCTGAAGCCATTAATATCTGCTTACTTTCCTTCCTTGAGTGGACATAGAAAAGCTGTTTCCCTCTATCTATCCTTTTGAGCCTTTTGGGTCAGCCTCTGCGGTCTTGGGCTTTGCTTTCCCATGAGGATCAATTCTTTTCTTTTTTAATCAAATCACATTTTAATTTATTTTTAACTGATTGTCAAGAAGCATGAAAGATGTACATATTAAGACATATTAATGGGGTGACATGAAACTTTTAATATAGGTATATATATTGCATAATGTTGAAATCAGGTTAAATTGATTATATATATATATATATATATATATATATATATATATATATTGCATAATGTTAAGTCAGGTTAAGATTGAAATTAGGTTAAACACACTTATTTCTTCAAATATTTATTATTTCTTTGTGGTGAAAACTCTCAAAATCCCTTTTTCTAGCTTTTGGAAATATACAGTACATGATTATTTTCTGGAAATATACAGTACATGATTGTTTTCTGTAGTCACCTTACTGTGCAACACCCACAAGAGCTCCTTACTCCTAAATAACTATAGCCTAGTGTCCATTCATCTACCTTTTCTTATCTGTCCCTCCTCCCCTTAATGTTTCTGGTCCCCAGATGGATTAATTTTTTCTTAGTTTACAAATCAGCCTATGTATCAATATCAATTTCAGAGCAATTCTTTAATCCTCACTTTGGGTTGCAGAGAGAAATTATTTGTATGGATATTGGCAATATTAATTATATAATAAATTTATGAACATTTGGTTGACACATATAAAGAAAAATCACACAAAACAACCATGGAAAACTACCTTCAACATTGGCTTCCCAAATTGGCACCTAATTGTAAAATGACTTCATGATCCATATTTGACTATTTCTTGGGCTTATATCATTTTTAAGATCTTTAACTAGCTGACGTACTAAAGTTGGAAATTCTCATATGAAAATTCAGAATTTCTCCTCTAGAGGTTGCAACACTGGAAACCTGGCAACACCAAGCAAGCCTTCCTCAAAGCAGTGGTCAGTTGAAACTGTGTGATGTACCTGTTTCAGGGTGGTTGTCCTCCAGTTCCCCACAGCCCCCATCAGTCCTCTTCACTCATCGACATTTCCTGCCTCAGCCTTAAATGCCCTGGAGTTTGCAACCCCTACTCTGGAGCTTCACCCTAGTCACTTACTGGACCCCCAAAGTGTATGCTTAGCTCACCTTCTGAAGTAGTATTTGATTACAAGAATGCACAACAAAGCAAAGCACTGAATTTAAACCACTGCATCTTCCCCTGTGTCCAAGTGGTGGAAAAAACATGTCAAAAAGTAGAATTCCTTTGGCACAGTCAACTTACCTGTTGTTAGATAAATTGCTTTTATTATATAAAGGGAGGCCTAAGATTCTTCTAAGATGTTAACCTGGATCCTGGTATACTTACACTCTGTCAGATCCTAAGACTTCCCTCACTTTACTTACATAGTTTTTTAATAAGACAAAATTGAACATTAATAGAATCAATTAGAGACAGACAAGATACTGAGAAATCAGTGACATAATAAATCTTTTCCTTGTAAATTAGTGATGTTCCTGCATATGGTTATTATCTGAGATGGATCAAGGAACAAAGCTATCACCTRAGACTGCTGTTACTCTGAAAATGGTAGCATTTACTTGCCCAGTTTTGAGATATATAGTTAGCTAATAAGGAATCTTTCATTAACAGAGTGAAAATGATACCCTATTGGGATAGTAACCTAGCAAGTATCTGACCAGAGCATTATGGCATTTCTTAAATGACAGGGATATACAGTAAGATATTTTGGAGTCTGTAGTGAATGCAGTTTTCACTGTGAACAATGTCAGGGTTGCTCTAATGTAATCTGTAATATTATTGTCCATGGTGTGTGTGCTTGTATTTTAGTTGTTGATGGACATAATACATTTATTTATTTATTTTTATGTGGTGCTGAGGTTCAAATCTGGTGACTCACACATGCTAGGCAAACACTCTACCACTGAACCCACAACCCCAGCCCTCCATGGTATATTTATAGAGAATGAAGCTATACTGTTGAATCCATTTTGATCTGCTCCTCTGGACTTGCTTTCTTTCTTGTTTCTCTCTTGTTATTTTATGATGGAAATCAGATTCTAGATTCAAAGATTTAAAATGCCTTCAGAGTTCAATGACATGGATAATTTAAAATGATTATTAGTACCTTGGTACTGTAAATATTACCCAGTAACTTATCATCAGAGTCTGATTCTGAATGCATTTCCATTCAGACATAAAGCAGAGTGACTCAGAGAATGTGGAATTCTCCCATCAGATGCTCACACACAACTTSAGTTGTGCAAGATTCTGCCTTCAGCAATATGAGCCCACTTCAAACAGAAATGCACATGAATAGTTAAAGAAAAATGCTGGATCCCACCTGTTGCCTCTTCTGTGAAGTAATAAGTCTATAATGTTTATAAATTTTAATAACCCAGATAGGGATTTATCTTTCAACATTAAATTTATATTATCCCAAAGTTTGACTTTTGGGGGCATGTATTCTCTAGTATCTTGGAAAATCTATCTGTTTACTAATGCATGTCCGTTAATAAAGAATTGCAGTGTTCTCTTATCAACCAAATATCAGCACATTTTGAATGTTGCATTGAAATCTTTATTTTCAATGTGATGTTTTCTTCGTCTGACTGAAGGTGTCGTGATCCTTCCTGAGGGCTGGAAACATCAACATTATATTTGTTGATTCTGTCAAAGTGAATTGTGTTTGTGTTTACCTTTTGTTCCCCAAGATTATAATTGAAATAAATTTTTCACAATGTTTCCTTTTGGTGGTTTAAGATCCTATGGTAATGAGAATTGAATGAACCAAATCATTAGCTTGAGAATAGGTATATGGATGCAAACCCAATTTTAAAATTGTTTATATCTGATAACATCAAGCCTCACCTATAAACCTTATGTTATGTCTTAGAAACAATGACTACATCTCAGTGCATGAACAATGAGAAGGGAAAAAATAAACCTAACAAGCAAAAGGCTACTTTTACTCATCGGAGTAAGTGTGACAAGAGGCCAGAGGTGGAATTTATGATTTTAATCACATTGTCTACAACTAATTCATTTTACCCTTGAATTTTTAAGTAGTTCTTAAGTAGATTTTTCCTGAGGAAGAAAGTAAATAAAAGAAAGCAGTTTCCCTCTGATGACAGATTCACTTATTCTAAACAATACTTTCTCACTACTTTGATTTCAGTTTACAAGCACTGAGAAAGGAGAAATCCCGAGATGCTGCTCGCTCCCGCCGGGGGAAGGAAAATTTTGAGTTCTATGAATTGGCCAAGTTGTTGCCTCTTCCTGCAGCCATCACCAGCCAGCTTGACAAGGCGTCCATCATTCGACTGACAATTAGCTATCTGAAAATGAGGGACTTTGCTAATCAGGGGGACCCTCCGTGGAACTTGCGAATGGAAGGCCCTCCACCCAACACATCAGTAAAAGGTAAGTTTTAGGTCACAGTTCAGTATGGCATATGGTGGTCTGTAGCTATCTTTAAGTCGAAATGTTTACCATCATCCTTTCTTCTTTTCCTGCATATCAAATCCTTTAAAGGGATACAAATGTGGAAATCTGAACTCTGCATGAGAAAGACACCATGTGAAGGTGAAATAAACCTCTTCTATTTCTATTTTATTTTCAAAAAGTCTTGTCAGCCTAAATATACTGCTACTTTATATCAAGTTTCTTAGAAATGAGAATGAGATGATTTACGTATTAGTGATTCTGGGATTTAATGTATGTTATATTAATACATTTAAATTATTCTTGGTGGGTAGAATATGGAAATGCTTGTTAAAGGGTGGAACTAATAAGTTTTTCTTTAAGTAACCAGAGAGAGAGAAAGGGAGAGAGTCCAACTTTAGCAGGCATTTTTGAGTTAATGATTTTATTGACCATAAAAATCAATCCATGTATTAATGTTTCATGTTTCTCTATAGACATATTGCCTAAAAGTTATAAACATATATTTGTTCTTCAGATGCTTGATACAGTTACACTTTAAGCTCACTATTTTAAAATGTGGGGTCTTTTTTACTCTGACATTCAAGAGAGGTATTTTCCTATGAGTTCCCCAAATACCTAATACTTTGTGGCATTTTTAGCATTTGAATATGCATGCATACCATTTACTGAGGTATATGTGGTGTTGGCCATTGATTTTCTGTCTTTACAGTTGTGTTATTCAAGGCGTAGGATTTAAAATGTCTGCTAGATTCTTAGGTCCTGACCTTGTGTTTAGGCCCTTGATGAACATGGAATAAAATTAGGCATTTGGGAAACTGGATTATGTGCTTTAATTTGGTGATGACACCTTTCCAAATACATTTGGAAAAATCCCAACAGTTTTAGCTGTTGTAGGAAAGGGTACTAGTGGGGAGGGTAAACTCTTTTGTAGGACTGATTGAATTAAAGGGTCAAAAGCAGTGATCGTTTATGATTCCATAGTAAGAGCTGTGGTTATGTATGTGTACATGCATGTATGAATGTGTTATAGTTTGAGCATCCCTAATCTGAAAATCCTTAATCTGACATATACCCAAACTTTTGAGTACCAACATGATGCCACAACTGGGAAATTCCAGTTCGTATCAAGTGCAAAATTATGTAAAATATTGTATAAAAGGCTCTGTTTATAAGGTATATCTGAAACATGAATGAATTTGGTGTTCAGTCTTGGATCCCATCTACAAGATACTCATTACATATGTCCAGATAGTTCTAAATTTGAAAAACCCTGATACCTGATTTCTGATATCTGGTCCAAGAATTTCAGATAAGGGATACTTTATTTACTTAAGAATTTACTTATGCTTATGAGAGGAGGAAAATTAGAATTTAAATTTAACAGGTTATTTCTCTCTAGATCCGTGGTTGGCAAACATTGTTTGTAGAGGGTCATATAGTAAATATTTTAGGTTTTGGAGTCTACTAAATTCTGCCATTATAGTTTGAAATAAGGAATAGACAATATGTAAATGAAAGGATATGGCTGTGTTCCAGTAAAACTGTATTTACAAACAGGCAGCAGCCTCTGAATTTAGCTCAGAGGCCATAGTTTGTGGGCCATTGATCTAGAGTATATGACGCTGTTAAGGTTAAGGAGAATACACAACAGAGGTACTTCTCAAGGACAGGATGTCAGTACAAGTTAGCCCATGACAAATAAATGAAGGCACATTCTTCAGTCCTTTTATAGTTCTTCTCCCCTCTAGAATGTGAACATAATCTTGATAAGACACTAATGCATTTTCTAGGTACTAAAGTAATAGTGAACTTTCCCAAAGTAAAGATGTGCATATACTTTTAGTGTATATACATTAGATTTATTTTTTCACTCTAGTTTGAGGCCTGCCTGTTTTTATGTTTATGCCAAATCATGCATAATGAAATGATAAGTCAAATATGTTAGAAACCCCACAGTATGGAAAAATATTATTATTCAATTTGCAAAAATTGTTAAACTGGACTTATATTTTCTTTGTTGAGCATAGTTATCTTTTATTTTATTTTTATTTTAAAAGGAGTTTGCAGTGAGTAGTCTTTCTTGGAAGTATTGGTGACTAAAGTGGAAAAATTTGGTGGCTCCATTGTTTGTTTATTCTTCTCTGATGTGATAGTCCAGTTTACATTTAGAATTATGGCCTTTTACAGATGCAGGCTTTTAGATCACATAGAACTATTCCCTCATTTTACAGATAAGAAATGACTTTGCAATTAAGTGTTAGTAGATCTAAGACAAAAATCCAGTTTTCTTGCCTTCTGTCTAGCACTCTTTCACATCATATTTTTTATAAATGACATTTGTTTTGAATCTTCATTATTAAACATTCCAGGTGAGAATTTTATGAGCTTTAGACTGTCACTAGCAATTGACTTTTTCTTTGTGTGGTTCTATCAACTCTATAACCCTTTATGATGATTAGGGTAAATAAGATGATAACACATGGCCTCTGCCCTCCATGGGTATTGCTGTCTATAGAAGGGCATGGTAGTGGTATCACTAAAGAACAATGGGGAGCCTGGAAGGAGATAAGAGATTTTGTTATTTAAACAATTCTAGCCAGATGATGTCAGAACATCCACAGTTAGTACATGTTCACTTCCACTCTTAGTAAATTGGTGATGGGCTAAAACTGGAGATTGTGCATGGTGACTCCATATAGTCTCTGCTGTCTCTCTTAAAAGTTGCTAGAAAGGGTTGGGGTTGTAGCTCAGTGGTAGAGTGCTGGCCTCACATGTGGAAGGCACTGGGTTCCATCCTCAGCACCACATAAAAATAAAATAAAGGCATTGTGTCCAAATACAACTAAAAAGTATTTTTTTAAAAGTTGCTAGAAAGGCACTTGGTACTCTCTATCTGCTGCTTCTGCTGTGCAATACATGTACAATTTATTGCCTTACTCTAGTTCTTTAATGCAAAACTGCTACTCATTCTGATCAAACATTCATGAAACAACAACATCAAAAGAAATTCATTTTAATTTATTAAGGTCTTCTATGTTATGCCCTTGAAGAAGTTCATGTGGATAAACAAGCTTATATAAACAGCCTGCAGCACCATGTGAAGTCAGTTCATAATCCAACAATAAAGACGATAGACGTTATACTTTGTGCCTCTCCAAGCAGTCTCTTGAATAAACCTAAAGGCATTTGGAAATTTATATAAAAAGTACTTACACGATGTAGGCAGCATTTTTTTTAATGTGAAGAGTTGATCATGTTAATAATTAAATTTCAAAGCTTAAATTTAAATTTGTCCCACACAACTAGGTAGAAGTTTAATCATTTTAATTTACTGCTTCAGAGAGGTCTTTTACTCTGCCCTGTGTTTATCACATCTTTTCTTAACAGTCTATAAAGGTGGATGAGTTTGTTTTGTGATATCCATTTTATACAGATTATTACGAGTTATGCTTGCAGGAAGAACACTCAGTTGACAGTGTATAATATGTCCTGAGTCAATTACCTCATGGAAATGATATGTTAAGCAATTGGAAGGTAACAGATATTTTTTCCTATTATTTTAGAAATATCTGTATTGTTATAATACAGATCAAATCTACAATGAACGTTATGCATTATTCAAGAAATGACCAGGCATTCTCAGCAGTGTTTCATTCAGCTAAATAACTGATGATTGTAACCTTTAAAGAAATCTCATTGTGGTGACTGTTGGTAAATCACTTCTCCATTCATAGTAATCTCTATTTAGAGGCTATCTAGAAACCATTATATCTTTTATTAATCTTAAAAGCAATAGCTGCTGATTTGACATTTGCTAAAACTAGATAAATTTTCTGTCTTTCTAATATCACAGACTTCAGTCAATTTTTGGAGTGTGTCTGCTGCAACTCTATTAATCCAGGAATATTTGCCATTGTAAGCATAAGTTTTATTTCAATTTAAATACTGAAGCTTTTAAACAACAATTTGCCTTTGTCTGTGACAGCCAACAATGCTAAAATATGTAAAATATAAGACACCCTTAGCCCTTGAAACGGAACAGTTGAAAAATATGCAAGGCAACTGGTGATTAAAACTGCCTGAACACATTAGTGAAGAGCCTTACCTCTTGCACAGAATTTGTCTTCACTCTTCAGGTATCTATTGTGAATTAAGTAGTAGTTTTTTCTGAGAGGAGAGATTAGCAGTCTTTATTTAAGCCACCCGTTACCTATCCTTTGTCAAAGACAGGACTCTTATTTAAACAATGATGCTTAGTGGGTTCGTTTACAGTAGTCTCGCAGGGTAAATGACTATAGATGATCTTCTAGAGTGACATTGAGTTACAGCCACAATGGTTGTCCCTAAAACTTGGACAGCATTTTGTAAAATGATTTTTGTTTTAGTAGAAAGGTAGAAATTCTAAGACCATCTGAGTGATGGGTCTTCTTAGGTTAAACACTTCAGAGGTCCTCCATTTCCTGTTTTCCCATTTTACCAAATGCTAAGGAGCATTTCCTTCTCCTAAGTGAGTCCGTGCATTAGGACAAGTTCATATTCCTCCTCACCAAAAACCTGTGAGATGAAAGTTCTTGGATTTCATACCCAGTCATGCATACTCAGCCCATTCCTTTGTTTCTTTTTACACAGGCAAAGTGTTGAACGGAGAGAACCCCTTAGTTCTGAGCAAGAAGCTTTGTGTGGGACTTTTTGGAGAGTAGAGTAAACAATGGAAACTTGGTTCCCTTGATTCCTATTCTTATTTCCATCATCTTCAGTAGAATAAGGACCAATGTCTCTGTTCTGGTCTCTAACTCCATTTGTCTCAACCCAGATGATAATGGCACCAAATGGAACAGAACTATCCAAAAGCTGAGTGGCCAGTGCTCACTGCTGTTTGTTTTGGGAGTGAGTGCCAGATCTTACGAGTATWTGGAAATATTATGTAATATGAGTGCCTTTTCTTAGGTGTGCTTCCAAAAAGCATGCTATTGTCA